CGGTGCCATCGGGTGCGGCCACTTGAATCCGTGTAAGGCCGCCGCACATGGCGGGGAGTTTCACCCGGCGCGTGAGAGTCGCACGTCGTACTGCGCAGGCCGCGGTTTCCGAGGGGCCATACCTTCCAGGGTGAAGGGCACTCGGACGCCACGCGGTCCGACGGCTGGGAAGTGGAGTTCCCGTGAGGACCACAACATCGTCATATGATGCTTGGCCATGAAATCGCTGCCCAAAAGGAGTTGGTCCGCCAAGCCCGGCACCACGTGGACTTCGGCCGCGAATGTGCCGTCATTGACGGTTCACTCTACTCGGCGGACTTGCGTCACAGCGAGGACGTTACCTGTGCACCCTTCGACGTATCCGCGACTAGTTCGAAGAAAGGTGCCGATTGTTGCCATGGTTGCGTTGCCTACACAACTTGTAGAGCAGCTGTCGACGCGGCGGCAAGCTTGACACCGTTCATCGTCAGGTGCCAGGTGTGGAGCCCAACGTCACGAAGCGCGAGAACGCGTATGCCGCGTGGACGCTCGCTGAGGAGCCGCCGCGACGCCGCTTCGAGCTGCAACAGGCGCCGAGCGGCTTTCTGCGTCTGTCGTTTTACGCGGCGCCGGAGCCACGGCGGTTTCGCGGGGACGCGCCATGTTGCTGATGGAGACCCATGCCAGTTCAGAAGAGTCGGGTGGGTGGACCCGACTCCGCCATTAGTTTTTCTGATGCGGCTCCTGGCGGGTTGCCGTGGCGATGTTGGGCGAGGGTAGCTCGAGGCACTTGCGGCGCAAGTGCCAACAAGTGCGGTACCGCGTCCTCCGCGTTCCGGTATGTGTTGTGCCATTAGTTCCACACTATCGATGATAGTGCGCAGCGCCTTGTGGGCAACATCCTCCGCAGGTGTCGTTGACACGGTTGGAGCGGTGTCCGCGGAGTCATAGGGCATGGTCACTGTTGCTAACGTCTTGATGTCGCAGCCGTCAGGGCAGCCAACCCTGACACCATCCGTGAGGAAAAGCTGTTGCATGATGATGCCGACTGGCATTGATGGGGTCCCGATTGCATCACGCCTACGCGTATTGCATGGGCAGTCCGGGGGGAAAACACTTGACGATGCGGTTGAAGCTGCGACGAAGCATATGCAGGCTTCACAATGTCTTCAATGTGGAAAACCCAGAATGATTACATGGAAGACGAATACCCAAAGCAACTCTCGAGAACGCGGGAAATAACTGCACAACGTTGAAGGGCTGTGGAAGCAACGACAGTTCAATCGGAAGAAAGAGTACTTGGTAAAGTGGCATGGTTTGCCTAACACGAAGCAACGTTGGAGCTTGAGCGCGGCATCAAGCATGTTTGTTTCCCATTTCAAACAATTGCTTGCAGACCTGCGTTCAAGAATCCAAGCTGTCAAGTCGACAACCGGGGGAGAATGTAACGATGGCAAGGTTGCCGACCAAGAATACAACTTGTCGCATCGTTAACAAAACGATGGCAAGGCTGTAGAACAAGCTAAAGATTGTCGCACCATTAACGGGCAAGGTTGAAGCCTTAGAGAAAAACGTTTACTTGATGTAGTTTAGTATAGTATACTTTTTCGTAGTTAGTAGTTTAAGACGACAATCTAATCACATTCCGATTTACTCTTTGAAGCTCGCAACCGTTATATTATTTCTCGCGAAGAGACCAACTTTGTGGACAGTAAAACTTCAGCTTTGCCGGATTGCATGTATTAATACTGTACTATACTAATACTTAGTATAGTACAGTACTAGGTAGAACTACTGTACTAGTCGGTTCAGGTTCGGAGAAATGTTCGTTATCCAGGAATTCTACAAATTTACCGACGACAGTAATAACAATCAAATTTGTAAGTCGCGTGCGCTAAACGAAAAAGCACTCACATGAATATCACATAATTCCCAGGAAAATATACAAATTATCCGATACTTCCAATAGTAATATTATTTAAGTACACCATTTTGCGGTTAATTTCGAAAAATATCTAGTTTACTGTTTCCAGTACTCTAGAGAAAATTATACGTGGGATGCTCTTATAGCATACTACCTCCAGACGGAAATAGACCGACCATTTCAAAATTGATCAAGGACGGAAATAGACTAGACATATTGCATCCCCCCGAAATATAATAAATATATACCAGGCGTAATACTAAAGGCTAGTTAATTAAATTATTGGCATTGCATACTCAAACCCATATTAATTTGATTCTTACGCTGATACCTACACTCCTTCATCGTCATCGATCCCAAGAGACTCCATGGCTGAGAAGATGTCGCACATCTCAAAATCGGCAGCCGTTTGGGCCGCAAGCAGGTTCATGGTCTTCTCAAGGTCTTCATTGCTCAGCAAAGCACAGCCTGTGTTGAACACATCGCGGCCGCATTCGACAGACTCAGGTAGGAGGCCCGACTTCTTGAGCGCCGCCTTCTTCATGTGTGGCACCTTGTAGGAGTTGTCGCCGGCGCTATAGATGACCTCGCGGA